AACTTATAACTTAAGAAAATAATTAGCAAACATCACATTGCATTATTTGTAGTATCAAGATAAAATCATGATATTTACCTTCTGTACACTCCTAACATTTTAACTAATTATTGTTTTTAGGAAACTAGTGTTTTTTACAGGTCCAGTATACATGAAATACCCGCCTATCTACATATAGAGAAGAATTATGATGTATTCTAATGCTTCTAACACTTGTGTTTCCACTAAATGATTTGTTAGGTACTATGCATCTTAGAAATAAATGATCAGATTTTCTAGCACAACGAATGTGTATCTAGCTGTTACTTGCAGTACTCTGATCATATTCCATTTTTTTAAAGTGTAGACGTGTAAAAAATATTCTATTATAGTAGGGATAGTAAAATATGAAAATGAATAATCCTGCCTTTCCTATACACTGAAACTGAACAGATTAAAGTTAGATTAAACATTGAAATGATAAAAATTCTATTGAAAAAGAAAGTGTTCAAGTAAATTTAGCTGACAACCAAGCAAGAAGTATAATGAAATTAAAACCATCAACGGTAGAATAAAAAATATGTACGTAGTTCTGGTATGGGACTTCCCTCAGTGTGCATTTACAACCCTGCATCCGACAATTGAACCCAGGACCAATAGTCTTTAAATAAGACCACTGTATGACTGTAAATCTATGAACGTTCTACTACCTCTAGTAAATCGTGTACTCATAATAATCATGAGCTCACTAATAACTAGCTTACAGATAAGATTCCAGAACTTATAGTGAAAAGCTATGACTATTGGAGTACAGCCAAGTCAGATATGAGACAGTTATCCATTGTAGCCAATGGCAGATGGTTGAGGTAACAAAGGACATACTTGATTATCTAGTTCATTTGCTTTATTCATCATACATGTAAAAATTCCAAATAAATAATATCATCTTCCTCGTATATGCATTTTTCTAATGACAAGCCGTAAAGTTTATTAGATCAACTACAATCCCCGCTTCTTTTTTAAACATCTTTATGACTACAAGTTTGGGTTACTTATGTGCACGTGAAGTAAAATATCAAACATTTGAATGAATATCATTAAAAGCTTGTACTACCCAACATTTTATTATATTACCGAAATATACCAAGATATACATAATTATTATATTTCGATTTTAATCAATATAATTTCAGCGGTCAACTCGACAGAAGTACTTCTGCTGTCTTTTGACCACTAAGATGTTTTCGTCATTTTTTAAAAATAAATTACATATAGCATATTAATCCATTTTTGTATTGGTTGTTTGACGTTGTTCAAGGCAATATCAAGCAATCAGCACAGGGTGCACATATGCTAATAAGAGACTGATTAACTGCGACCCAAAAAATCAGTAGGAAGACCCAAACAACCAATACAAAAATGAATTAAAACTTGACCTCATTACACAAGCTAGTGACTATCAGGACTCAGTAGCTAAGTGGATAACGTGATAGTGTTTGAAGTAAATTGTACTAGGTTCGAGTCTCGGAGTGAACATCAACTTTGGGGTGCAGGTACATCCAACTGATGAGTTCCAAATAGAAAGAAACGAGCATTCTGGATTACACTCCTATCCATCATCCATCTCTGTTCATACATATAATATAGTACATAAATTCGTCGTTCAAAGTCAACTTCAATCCCAGACTAAGATATCATGAAAAACCAATGAAAACGTATCCACTATTCATTCAGCAATTTATCATAACGTTCGGTGTTTCATCACTTGTACCCAGACATAGTGAAATCAAGATTCAAGTAGAAGGAGCTACTTATTCATAAAGTCAGTATAAGTATGTATATTAACTAAGCGTTTCGATTAAATTAATAAAACACCTGATTACTTTTGTCAAGAAAACATTTATTATAAAGTTTATCAACTAATACCATGGTTTCTTTACTAACGTTAACAACATTTAACTTGATAACTTCAGGCCTCCAAATGCCCTGGTACGGCCGAGAGTGGAGAGAGTTAGCTCTCCCTCTCGAAATCCTCTCACATGGCCGCGTGCATACAACCACTGCCAGGGAAGTCCTACTCACTGCCTTCTTACGCTATGTGTATTGTTTACGAAACCGAGAGAACAAAAAGCGAATGTCCAGCGCTTTAATCCGGTTGGTAGATACGAAGAGTGTCCACCTAGGGGAGTTAGAAAACCGTGATTTCAAACCAATGTTGCCCATGATCTCCAGAATCCTAGTGGAATAAATGGCGTCTGAACCAATTGTTGGTTACCGGCTACTATGGGAATGCATCTCCTGATATGTTGCATATCTATTTGATGACTCCTTGTACTAATATTCATGTGTTCAAATAAATAGAAATAAATGATAACTTCAGATAAAATGGACTCTTAGAAAATTGATTCTTATAATAGCAGTAAAAAAAATAGTCCATAAAGCCTAGACAAAACTGAAATTTCGAATTTTAAAGTAATTAAGCTTAGCAACATACACAAAGTTATCAGAATGTTAAAAATTCAATATTTTCAATTATCTAATATATCTTAATATTATCAAAATAGAAATAATTTTAATGAACTAATTCTCATTAATCATTAATAAAAAACAGTTTTCTTCTAAGAAAAAAAAGAAAAAAATTCATTTTTTTTCCAGAACGAATCATGAACTCATTTTAAAAAATTGACCAATTAAATTATTTTTCAAAAAAATTTTTATATTTTTAATTTTATGTGATACAATCTGTTAACAATGAAAAAAAGAAAAAACGCTAAAAGTTTATTTGATTACTTCTATTTAATTTAATAATTCAATGTTATTTAAAAGTGATATTTACTATTACATCATTATTAGAAAGGGTTTTGTGTAGATTTAAGAAATTTCGATACTTGAAACCATGAGTCAATTAAGGCTAGACCATCATGGAATACCTGGAAGCACTGAACGGCTGTTTCGTCCCAGTATGAGATTTCACAGAAGTGTTCATCCACGATCCCGTCCCCTGCGAGATTGATAAGTTCTGGGTTCGAATATCCTGGAGGACGAGATCTTGTATGCGCACTGTTGAAGAGTCCCATACTAGGAAGAAACAGCCGTCCAGTGCTTTCAGGTTTTCCATGGTGATCTAGCTTCAAATGACTCATGGTGTCAAATATTACACCATTATCAATGATTGATTTGAACGAATTATTTAAATATCTTAACAATATTCACGATAAAATTAAATTCATGAAGAAGTTGCAATCTCTTGAATGAAATGAACTTTTCTAAACTGTTATGTTGAAAAGAAATATAATGATTGTTTAAAAATTAATATTTTCCAAAAACTGGCATATTCAAGATTTGTAGATTTTAAGTTAGCGAATTCACACTCAATCAATGTGACAATGACCAGAAATTTGATCATCAGAGTTTAAAAACTTGTCACTGAATGAAATGATATAGAAATGGAAATGAATTTAATCATATTCACTTTAATGACAAATAATTATCCAAAGGATTTTATTAAAAGAATAATTAGGAACGAATAATGAAACGATATTATTAAAGAAGTTAAGCAAAAAGAATGGGCTAACACAGTGGTGGTCCCATATCGTAAAGGCATTTCAGAAGAGATCAAAAGGATCATAAATCTTCAAAATATAAAAGTATTCTTCCGAACAAACAACATACTCTAAGATCAAAAGTTGTAAGAAAAAAGCGTACATTTTTATAGAGATGGATGGTGGTTAGCAGTGGAATTTAGGACGCGCGTTTCGTTCAATTTAGGTTTCATTGGCGGGATGTGACTGCATTGCAAAGTTGATGTTCATTCTAGATCTAACTGACGAGCCTCTGATAAGACGAATCCCCATTCTGGATTCCAATGCCAGCCACTATCCATCTCCGCTTATAATGCTTGTGACTTAAAGCAATATCGAGGCAATCCTTATAAGATGCACATATGCCAATAACAGACTGATCGATTGCAGTTCTAGACACCAATGGAAAAAGTCAAGCAACCAATAAAATTATCAATAAATAGACACCTTGAAAAAATGAAATATCAATAATATCTTAATCTGCTATTAGTTTTTTTCGAATAATTAAGTGAACAAACAATAGACTAAACAATTCAAAAGTCTAGTAAAAACCATGTTTTAAAAATCGAAATGCTTGATGTATTTAAGTTGAGAGGATATATATATATATTTCAAACATTGGCATAAAATCAGCGTTGCAAAGCCTTAAGCTAACTATAAGAAGATCGTTTCATGATATCGATGGAATATTGAAATCATTCTTTATTAAACACCATCAAATAACTGTTAGATTTAAAACGTCAACCCATTATTATTCGGTCTAATATAAAGACCCTGTTGATACTGATCAACTGAAAGTTAGTTTTCACTACTCATCAGCAAATAGAGAGCCTTGAACAGACATTGTTTCCTAGTTAAAAACACATCAACTGTCCTTACTCAATAGTTCAACTTCAGTCATTCAAGTCTCACAATAGATATGATAAATTTAATGATTATAAAATTATATAATACAGTATACTTAGTTTGATAATGAATAAAATGAAAGTAATGAACTCTTAATAATTAGATTTTTAATGGACTATAAAAAGAAGTCTCATTTTATTTAATTTTCTAAATCGACTTAAATTTATTGGTGTTTAAATGATTATCAAGATACCTTTTTTTTCCTTAAACTATAAAGTTCCCAGAAAACATAAAAAGAGTAATTTGATCAGTGATACATTCTAGTGCTTATTTGCTTGGTAGCTTATTATAACCCACGTGATCATCTCGTTTGACTTGTTACTATCAATTATGAATATAATAATTTAATGACAGGATGTTCAAGTGAGAAATATCTAAAAAAATTCTTAACGAAATCAATACAGTTAAGATAAACCATAAGTGTACATCTCAGATTATGCATATATATTCAACATTAATTAAATCATCTAATATACTAAAGAAAGAGAAGAAAACTATATAAATATTACTGAATAAGAAATAAATCTAACTTACTTGTACTTCAATCCCAGCTAATGCTATTTTTGCTTTACGTATTTCATTCTCTTTACGATAAATATCATCATGCATATTCAAGTTTGTATGCTCAGTTTGAGTATCAAAATCAAATCTTGAACAGAAAAGAATTTTAATAACATGTTTTGTAAATATGAAGTATATAAATTATAATGTTGATATGTTTATAGAATGGATACATAATAAGTAGTTCACTAATGAATAATTTTGTCTATTGTTTTTATAGAGTTTTTGAAGATTGATAACATTTCATAGTTTGCACCACGAATCGATCTTCTTCAATAAGCCATCAAAAAGCAGAAAACGTTGAAAACGTTTTCGTCCTAGCATGAAACTGTTCAAAATCATACATCTGTGATCTCAATGAGATTTAAACTGGGACTTTTGAATATAGCTATGTATGTGTTCTACTAAGACTATAGGATTGGAATCTAGTAGTATAAATGTCTAACTTCAATCAAATCAATATATTGGTAAAACACATTTCATTTTTTTTCAGTGTGCAGCAACAGCGCACCTGATATAGTTATGTTATTAAAATAAACTATGGAAACTGTAAAAACTTCAATACTTTTAAATCCCCTATTAAGATAATCGTGCATTCACTAGAAACTAGCTTCAAGATGTCAATACCGAATTTTTAGCGACAATTCCTGACCAGTGGAGTTTGAAAAAGCCTGTCATAAAGCGGTTACTTACTGAAAAGAATGGAATGTGTTTTACCAATATATTGATTTGATTGAAGTTAGACATTTATACTACTAGATTCCAATCCTATAGTCTTAGTAGAACACATACATAGCTATATTCAAAAGTCCCAGTTTAAATCTCAGTGAGGTCACAGATGCATGATTGTGAAGATTTTCATGCTAAGACGAAAAAGTTTTTAATGTTTTCTGATTTTTAATGGTAAATCGAATACAATCGGTCGATGATATATACTGAACCGTTTGTCTAACCAAGAGATTTAGTTATCACTGAAATTCCCACTTCGAATAAATAAATTTCTAAATATTAATCTTATCTACTATCTGTTTCGAAAGATTTTTAAAAACGACGCTTACGTTTTTCGAAAAATGGCAATAAATTTTAGATAGCGGATTAATATAATTAATAAGACCAATTAACCCAGCGTTCATTTTCATAAGTGTTTGCATATTAATTCAACTAAATAAACATGGGGAATCCAATGATACTCATAACGTTTTCTATCTACCTTAGCAATATCCTAAAGAATAATCATTAAAATAAACGAATAGTTGTTGTTATTCAAACGTTAGTAAGTTCAGAGAAAACGTATACGATTAACCAAATAAGTTTCGCTAACATTACAAAACCATTTGTGTTAGAGAAAAAAATATCGACACTATAGTTCAGATCTTCACGGTTTATACTTGGTTTTATTTGATCAAATAAAGGTGAACGAAACAAGGTAAAAAATGATCCATATTCATATTACACTACATGATCACTGTATGTAAAGTAATTTTAATACATGAAAAATCATTATTTTACAATGAAAACTTTAGTCGTTATTATTAAATATGTTTCATTTCCTCTGAACTTCACAACGTTCAAAGAAGTCATTCATCACAAGCACATATGAGTATCTAACTGCATTATGTAATAATTAAGCTTACCAAATTAATTGTGCTTAAGCGAAAAAGAAAGTTCTGTAAGTTTCAACCTCATAACATTAATAATTCTTCCCTTAAACTAGGAGACCAAAATTATTTCATATCTTTCTTTCTGTACTATATCCTTACATAAAATCTTCCTTTATGTATTACACCATTGAGTTAACTGTCTCTATGAATCCGGTGTTCGTCATGCTGTGCTAATAAGATATGGCAACTTGGACCGATGCATGGATTCGCCTGGCCCTACATTATAACTGACTGACTCATCAATGTCATACTAACTAGATCACAAATTGATTTTAATTTACTCATCTTTATCCATATCTCAAAATTTCACAAAAGAACCATATTTAAAAATAAATTTTTTAAGCAAAAACAAAAGCTTTACTTTTATGAAGGTATAATATTATCATAGTGTTGTTAGCAACTACAATTATAATCTTGTCAATAGAGTATCCATCTAAAGTATAAATCTTCATCACACAATAGCATGTTAATATAAGTATACGTACAAAACAAATGAAATATGCAATTCTGTTTTTACTGATTTATCGCTAATTAATGAAAAGCCTATATATATATATATATATATATATATATATATATATATATATATATATATATCATATCTAACCAAATACATTACATTTCCTTATTACGTTCAGGTAATTTTATCATATCTATTTTGATCAAATAATAATAAGAAAAATACAATTCATTCATTCATCCACATTATCAATCTGAACATCATACTTTTTTTAATAATCTGTCAATCAGTTAATTATATAAACAGGAAATACACAATGTATTCATGATAGAATGAGATTGTCATAACCTAATTGATAAGCTTGAACAAAAATAGAAATTAATTTATTACTTTTGTTTATTTGAGATGAGCTGCTAGAAACATTGAATAATTAATTAGAACTGTCTATTTAAAAAATAAGTAGTATCTATTGCAATAATAAAATCTTTGAATCTCTATTTAATAACTATGGATGTATTTTTCCCCCTAAGAGCGGATAGATCACGTGTTTTTACAAAAAAGAAAAAAAGATTTTCCCTTTGTTTTTAAAACTAAAACTTTCTAAATTTTCTAACTTTCGGTTAAATGACGTAATTAGAAAGTTAAAGTTACGTAATGACGTCACAATGAAGTCTCTACACAGGAAAAAAAAACAAAAAATCATAGAATATTGATAGAAATAAATCTATAAAGTCAAGCTTCATGTTTTAGCTTAGAAAAAAAATTATTGGCATTTCAGTAGGAAAGTATATTTTCTATTAAAAACAACATGATTGAAACCTTGATCTGAAAATCAGTTTGAAACAGAAGCTTTCATTTGTTTTTTAAAGACTATGTAAAATATGGTGCTTTCAAATGCAGTGCCGCAGTTATGCAATTCTACATTTAATATAATTAAATACAATTTTTTAAAAGTAAATAGTACTTAAATGTGAAATTTGATTAACATTTGTAGTGTTATTGTAGCTAACTCCAACCATATTTAAGCCATGAATCAAATGCATCTTTAATTGTTGGTTACTATTACAAAGCGAAAACAGAACATGTTTGTATGTTATACTCTTTATTGAGTGTATATGTTTTATTGTGTTCCTAAAACTCATCTGAAAAAAATGGAATATATGATCAGGAATTTAAAGTTTTCTAACGCATGCGACATAAACTAATTATTAAGGTTTATTTTACGTTGAACATTGATGATGAACTTGTACTTTAGTACAAGTACCCATAAGTTTCCTAACTGTTTTATTCGATTATATCAAGCAACCATCGTATTATTTGCAAACTGAATAAATCATCTGTCATAGCGGAGTGTTTGATTCAAATCTCTGTGACATTATTTTCATCAAGCTTAAATATATGACTTGTAAATGAGTGTCAGCCAACGTGAAAAAAAGTGTACATCAATCATTCTATGACAATATGACCTATTCTTCCTCTTACAAGTTTTTTTAAGACAGTTATTCCGTTTTACATATCTAGATAATGCAAAATGAAAATGACATTTGTTGGAAACTTTTATTTTCATCAATTAAACGGTTACATTTTTTACATTATTAACCAACATGTTCTTTTAAACAAATAAAATTCAGTTATTTCGGAAAATCTGTATGAAAATATTCAATCTTAAATTATACTAGTGTCAAGCAGATTAACTTAATATTAATATTTGAACAAATATTTTCAGGCCAAAATAGTGTTCTATTTAACATACAGCAATAAACCACATCGTTTTGTATATAAGTATCAATTATATTTAATGATAATCACTGATTAGGATCTTATTGCTTGAACCAAGTTAGACATCACTTAGTCATTCTTTGAATATCCATCTAATATATATAGACTAATTTCGAAATCCACTTGATTAATGCTTGACATACTTTTGATGAGAAAAACTTTCACAGTTAACAATCTTGAGTTTAGAATAAGTTGTCATTACAATACCAATTGGATATCATTTGGATAATATTTCGTGATGTTAATTCTATGAAAAAAAAAAATCTAGTTACTTTCATGGTGCATTTCATTTGTCATTTAATCAAAAACGTATCAGTGAAGTAACACTTATCACTCTATCTTCCTAATTATTCAGAAATTTTATTATGGTAAGAGAAAACGAAAAAAAACATTTAAAAACGATAAACAAACAACATTCTCTTACTAAATTAATACATGAATAATAAATAATAGAAATAGGTTATCCCAATATTGGATTTAGTAGAGCTTACAGTTCACTTACTTTACCAATTACTTTAGTTTGTTCGAAATCAATTACTTATAGAGTTCAGACTGTTCGAGATATCCTAAAACCAAAGTATGAAAGCCACTTTTTGTGTGTTTAGGTCAGTTATAAACATTCAATTGTTATTTTCCATATTTATGTGTTATATTTATTTTTAATTAAACATTTACAACGCTAGTTACACATCGGTTAGATGGTTTACAAATTCTAATGTGTTTTATTTAAATAGATTTTTTTCTGTAAGATAACCAATGAACGTAAAAGTACTTTAAGGTGGAACTATAATTAACGGACCTACCAATAAGATTTACGATAACAGGTTTTCGATTTCCGAGTGAAATTCTTTATCCATTTGACTAAATAGCGTCTTGAAACTTTATTTGATGTCATTTTGTGATGAAAACGCGAAACTTAATTTCTAACCATAGACATCAAATGTAAATCAAAATTCTTATTTTTCACACTGGTATAAAGCTTCATTAAGTTCTAGTCAGTAGGCGGACACTCTTAAAGTCACTTCAATGTTCCTCATAGGTTATCCATAAATTATAGTTTCACTGTTATCCAAAACAATAAAATTTTTGATAAATTCCTTACATGAAAACATCTCTTCAGATAAACGTTTTTTTTCTAAACTCTGACCAACATTCACTTTCACTAAATTCTAACTTAATTTCTATCTT